TGGATTACCATTAGGCAACAGTAAACATGAACTTAGGGATCATGTTGTAATTTCTACCCCCTCCCGCCCCCCCCCCCTCTCCCCCGTCCCCCTCCAAAAAAAACATATGTCATATTACCCCTCTCGGCTCCTGACCTCTACCTTCCCATAACGGCCACGTCTCCCCAACGGCCACTTTCTTCTGTCCTCAAGGTGGCCTTTGGGTAGAGGTTCAACTGCAGGGCGATTAAGGGTGAATCTTTCTTCATTACTTCAAAGCAAATTAGAGACGCTTAAGGGGCGTAAGTCTGAGTCATAGAACTAAACCAGGTTAAATATAGTTCACACCAACACCACCACGATGCATGTAGCCTCATTTTGAAACGGACAGTTTATGGAACTCGGAAATGCCATCGTTTGTCGATGTAAAACCCTTTAGTCTAACGCCCAACGGTAGTAGTTATGAAATGATGAATACATGAATTTCATATATTGTAACTGCGGATTAAAGCAATAAATCCCAGCAAGGCTGAAAAAGTTCAGGCTTGCTGGAATTCGAACTACGACCTCTGCGATACTGGTGCAGCGCTTTTCGCGGGCATACGTTGCGTCTTTAACAGGAACAATCTTGCATTTATTTCCTCATTCCGGGGTTCCAATATAGGAAATTCATGTATTTGTCATTTCATCTTCATCTTTCCCGGGTATAATACGAACAAATTTAATGATCAGCTTCCAGTTACGTAGCATGGCTTGCCGACGCAAATTCGTTAGAGCCCTGCATCGGTATCGCAGTCAGGGTTAATCCCAGCAAGCCCTGATTTTTTTCAGGCTTTTTTTCGCAACTGCATAAGTTGAGACGGTAACTATGCATTTGTTATATCTATGCAACTGGCCTTAGATCAGCACCTAGCAGTACCGGAAGAAGCGTCATTTTTTATGAACGTGGGTCCAGAGTAAAAATTTGATAAATTACTCTCACCCCGCCCGCCGCCCCTGAATAAGCTTGAATACATCCTGGTCTTCATCAATTCTTGCGTCTCACCAGGAGCACATCAATGCGCTAGAATTAAGTAAATATTGGGAGTTGAACCACAAATTGACGATAAAGTTTTTAAATTAATCTGAATCGAAGCTGGTGGCGTTATAAAAATAAATTTATAGTGAATTATGCATCGTTCATTATTTGAGGCATATCGTCGGTCTCTGCGATGTCAGAGAAAACTACTTTTATTAGTTTTTTCCTTCAAAAAACACAATATTACTGCAAAAATATACATAAATTTTTATTTTTATTAAAAAGCATTCATAAATTATGCGAAATTTATCTGTATGAAATCTTATGGTAAAATTTCATGCTTTTCTCCAGAGGGTAAAATCGGTATTTTCTTCTTCTTCAAAACGTTATTTTATATTTTTGCCTTTCAAAAGGGATACAACAATAATTAATAGCTTCAGTCTATACCGCTGTAAAAACCTGCTGAGGAATTATCGATCCATTTCAATATGGTGAATTTCCTACAATTTTCAAATTTACTTGACGCTTTACTTAATGCTTGTTTCAGTCAAACGGTTTTAGCTTTCAAAGTTGTTATAAACAGCAGCTGGAAACGTTTTAAAGTTCCTGTTGATAAAACATAAGTTTTGCTTCAGCTTCAAGCTTTCCCTACGACTAAAACTCAGGATCAACATTCCTAATGCTTTATGATCTTTCAGGTATTTGAAACTTAAAAAACTATTTTCCATGAAACGAAAGGAATTTCATTAACTTACTTTACTTTTTCTTTGTTCGTTTGTTTTTTTTGTTCCTTTTTTTTATTTCATGAATGTCCGTCTGACATTAATTATAAGACTGAGAAGAAAGGAAGAGTTGCTGCCTGTAAAAGTTGATCAGAGCTCATGATTGTAGACAGTTTAAGGCCAATGGTTTATGCTAAACTTTAAAAGCAAAGTACAATAGGCATATAGCCTTTATCTAAAAAGAAAATACAAAAAAGGGGGGGGAAATGTAAGTTATATCGTCCGTTATGTTACTTATAAACAGTAGACCTCAACCTGATTGTAGTTTCAATGCCGTGTTCTTCAGTACTGCGCGCCAGCCCGGGTAAATATCCTACACGAGCAAATATACAGAAGAATCTCGCGCGCGAACTTCTCACTAAGTGAAAATATGCACATGTAGTTGTTCAATTCTATATCCTCGATTTCAATTTAATTTATTCTCTGTTTTTGAATGTTATACTGAGTTAAGGGTTGAGACTGTCTAGTAATTTTTCCGCGCGAACGCACGTAAAATTTACGCGCGTAAATGACATAGAGGTAATGTATGAAAGGCCGCGCGTAAAACGTGAAAGTTGAGCGAGGTTCAACTCTTACGTTTACGCGTGACCTTTCATACATTGTCTCTATTTTATTTGCGCGCGTAAAATTTAAGTGCGTACGCACGTAAAAATTATGCGACAGTGGAAATCCGGCTTTATCCGAGTCAGTGCCTCACCGGCAAAAACACGGACAGGCTGGCTGTAAAGAAAAAGAGAAGTTCAAATACCGAACTAGGCGCATAATAACACTGTAAGATTTCCGTTTTTGTACACTCATCTTGTGGGCTCATTCATTCGGCTTTATTTCCGTCGATCTCTCGTGTCTGGTCTTTTTCAATTCCGAGAAGAGAGCAAGAACAAGAAGTTTCTAAACCTTTGAACATTCAACTAAGCTGAGTGCTCTGAATTGCAAAAGCGACGATTTCTATTTGAACAACAACGGTCCCAGCTGCAAAAAGTTTAGAAATATATTTTCATTTTCAAATAGCAACATAAGCAAAACTGAATATTAAGATTTCAAATGCAAGTTTAATCACATTGTAAATTAATGTAAAGTTAAAAAACTCTGACTATTTTTTATAGAACATTGCTGAAGAGAAAAAATGTCATTAATGCGTGAAAAAGACTGAAAATGGTGCGTTACACGCCATTAATACACTTCGGTTAGCCAATCAGCTCTCAGAATCTTGCTCAGAATTATAAGACAATGAATTGCAAATAAAAGGACAAAAAAATGAAATCAAACCAGGGGTAAAATTGCACCACATCAAGCATTATCAAAAAAGAAGAGCTGAAGACCGAGATGTTCAAAAAGAACGGGTGAAAACGCAGCGAAAACCAGCACAATTAAAACGGAAGTGAACACGCAACAATACATGTGACCAGAAACAGATGCTGATGTTTATTTCTTGCGGACTGACTGTTATTTCATAAGGGACGGACCATTAGAAAAGTTACGGGGGGGGGAGGGGAATTTTTGAGCCGCAGGAATTTTTTTTCGTTATCAAATTCCTTGTATGAATTTTTTTTAGGCTGTAGCATGAATATTTTTTAGGGTTAATTGGCGTGCATGAATTTTTTTTCATTCAATTTTGCCTTGCGCGAATAATTTTTTTGTACTTCGCCCGCCCCCCATAAGTTTTCTAATGGTCCGTCCCTAATTGGTCTTTTTGCCACTTTTTGTATGTCATTTTAAGAATAAACGTTGCCAGGGATACCATTACTAAATTAAAAAGGTTGTAATTTTATTCATCGCCTCTTTCTTGTTTTCTTTAAAATTAATAATCATGCACCAAAGCGTTTCCTTTTTTGTGTTACTATTTCTATTCCAATAGTTTCCTTTTAAACTGAATAAAGTGACTTCGTGTATAGTGCAACTGATGGCGTATGCCGTGATCTTCGTGCCAATTAGAGGTATCACTAAATGTAGCCAGGGGATCATTTGAAAAGAAAATTATCTAAATTCATAAATATTTGCTGTCCGCCTTTCAGACGTTAAATGACTTGAGGGAATGAATAGTGACGTCTATAAAATGCGAAAATTTAAAAATTGTTCGAACATTATTTTTACCCACTTAGTCAAAAGGAAAACAGCGGTTGGCTAGAACGCATACGGAAATACGGAGATCTCGGTGAAAATTTTCCGTCAACTCAAATGGTCGTTTTTTTTGGTACGAGAAAAAGTAACCGGATTGAGTTGTACCAACCATAAAATGCCACTAAATTTCTTCTTAGCGGGAAGCCTGGCACTGGTTATCCACACAAATCGTTCAGAAATTTTCGTTCGTTTCTGTAAAAGCGGGGGAAAGAAAATACCAAATGGAATGGTTCATCCAGGTGGAATGTGTGCTATGCCAGATATTTGCATATAAGTTTCGACAAGCAATTGCAATGCGTCTGTGCTCACTGCTCGGCACTTTTGCCACTGCGCTTTGTTAAATTGAAATAAATCAGTCGCACGCTAGTTTCCCGCCAACCAAGCGAAAGTAGCACGTAATAAAGCGAACCTTGACTTTGTCACTTGTGTTTTCTCTCCATTTGGGCTTACAGATTCTGATTAAAGTTATAATATAACCAGATTTTCCTCCTGTTGTTGAAAGCGGTAATTTTATCTTATTTATATCTTTAGCACTCCACCGCAGAGTATTGTTCAGGGGCACCCAACGACTGTTTTCTGTAAAATATCTGTTTGGAGAAGCAAATATTGCCTAAAATTTTCTTTTGTTTGAGGACGGCAAAAAATTCCTAGATGAACGTTCCATTCATGTACAATTTTCCAAGCTTTTGTAATAAATTCCCTTCGGTTTTCAGAAGTTTAATTTTTGATATTTTACTACCCAGGTTACACTATTTTTCTTAGAAAAACGAAACCTAAACTTTTCGAATTCTGAAATGTGTTGGAGAGAGGAATCAAAAAAATTCTTACTTTCGTACAACATTAAATTGCACCTAAAATTTTCGCAAAAAAAATGCTGAAGCCCTCGTAATTTCCAAAAGACTTAAGTTCCCCTAGAATGACCGAACAGATAAAAATTTTGTAGCGCCGCTTAGAATACATTTCTAGAGATCTAAAAGTACTCTGGATAGTCTAAAAAGTGTTTTCAACGTATTTTGAAGGAAACCGTCGTTTGGTGCCCCTGATTGTTTTCCTCGAAGTTGCTAAAAAGGGGAAAGAAGAGTTTATAATTATTTTATTCAACAATTGCAACAGGGAAACTCATTGATTCTGGTTACCCTCCTCTCCCGCGGCCTTATGAAAAACACCTTAACATCACGTTTTACTTAAACAGGAGGATGAAGTTTCTATTTGTGCTATCGCTGATGCTGTGTTACAGTTCAGCTCAGAGTGCTGATTCAAGTAAGTATATCGTACAGTCCAACCTATGTGAGTGACTACCTTTCGTAAACGACCATCTAATCAAAATACCAAAACGTTCCCAGTATAAGCGTTACAGTGGTACGTCTAGTAAACGATCACCTCCTGTAAGCGACTGCGACTACACTATTCGGGTCTTACGGTTTAAAGACTTTCATTGGTTTTAACCTCTTGTAAGCGACCACTTCATGGTCCTTCAAGCATTGTCTGATCTCTATTTTGGCTGTGTGTACTATGCTAATAGGAATATACGGAGAACTTTACCAAAAATGGAACTACACCTACAATAACTTATCTTCCATGAAAAAAGTTGTGTTCGACCATCTCCTTAAGCGGCCATTGAGTCTGCATTTTTTGTGCTCTCTTATGGGGGTTCGCATGTATTTTTATCGCGCAGAATATACTATACGCCCCTATTTTTCTCCTGTCCGTCCACCCAATCAGCTGACATGGAGTAAGCAGAAACTAGTGTTTAACTACCAAACATCTGGCAACTTTTCTTCTTTAAGATTTTTTTTTGGCAATTTTCGTGATCCACCTATCGGGTTAAAAAACTCAACCACCCTAGGTCAGATTTGATTTCAGGTGATATCCGATAAGTTTGCCAAATTGCATTTTTAAATCAGTGGGAAAATAGTGGGATTTAGGAACCTCGTTTTAATTCGGTGAGGGTAAAAGGCGGAATGAGTTTGCGGAATGGCATGTGGCATGGCTTGCGGAATGACATAATTATGCGGAATGTAAAATATGGAAATTGGCGCAAAGAAATAAATTAAACTGAAAGGCATGCGCGGGTCATTGACGCCCCTTTTTTGGCGCCAATTTGAGTGAACAACTGCTTTACTGGTTCACGCATTTAGACATTTATCTAAAACATACCCGAGAATTAGCTAGGGTTCCTGAAGGCAGCCTCCACACGAAAACATTGAAGTCCGGTAAATATACTGAGGCGTGACCAAAATAACTTAGTTTCCTCGATTAGCAAGACGAAATATCTTCTTTTTCCGTTATCCTTAGCGAATTTAATACCATTGTTAGAGTCCTTATTTTTGAGTCGATAGAAAGTGAATCCCAGAATACTTGTGCATTTGATTTTTTGCTTCTTCAAAATACTGTCGGCACCGAAAGTGTTACTCCTTCGATCAAGAATTACGTTGCGTTACTACCTTGATTTCGTGACTGTGATTTTGACAGCTCCATCTCTTCAAACGTACGTTGTGCCACGTGCAGTCACGGAACAGACTGTCACGCAGAGTCGCCGGCAGGTAAAGTTCAGTGTTTCAAAATGGCTAAAATTGACCCAGTTTCACCTTTTTACCCCATTCTTTGATTGAAAAAAGCAATTTTGCAAAGGAAAACCTACAAGACGTACGAAAAACGAGCCATTGGGCTGTAAATATCTGTTTATGTGCGTTTCGAAATTGGAAGTTCTACAGAGAAATTCTCGATTTTTGTTGTTGTTTTTCTTGTTTACACAATACAGACAATTTATACCGCCAGCCTACCATGAAAATTCCTGAACTTCGATGGTGTCTTACAGAGATTTCCTTCACTTACCCAAGCCAATTCCCAGGTATGTTTTAAATGAATGTCTAAATGTGTGATTTAAATCGCAAGAAGAGAATTTGGAGTTATACCACATGTTAAATATTGGCGGCGAAAATGAGTAACGAACTGAAATTTTGTTATCCTGAAAACCTATCCCTCATTTTTAAAATTATTTCAGTACGACCAGCTTCCCTATTGTCCAGAAAGTATCTTCTAGTGGAAGGAAAAGAATTTTTCTGTTCGTGGAAAGTGTCCAAATTTCTCCATCCAGCTTCGTTTGCGAACGCGAGGAAAGTTGATGTTAGCGAATTTCAGGTTAAAATTAATGCAGTCTGAGACTCCGGCGACATCGAAAACCGATCTTCTATTTTTTCTCCCGAACAAAAGGCTTTCGGCGGGAACAATCTACGTTAGGTTTCTCTTTTACCTAAAAGCTATCTATGAACAAAAAATGAAAGAAATTGATTTTTCAACTCTTGTCACGAAATTAAGATTTTGGTCGATTTTTTCTGTTTCGCACGTCTCAAGCTCGCAGTTGAGGAAACAAAATACAAGATTCATTCATCTCTGAATAATATTATCAATTATGTCACGATCACGTAACCCACAGTCTCATAAAGAAACACTTCTCACACGGTTTCGAATACAAATATAGGTAACAAGAAACTGTTGAGTTAATCGTACAAGCATCTTTTGTAGAAAAAATTAAAGTAGAAGGGAGCGTGACCTTCGAAAACATCTTTTCTTCAATAGACGAAGAATCTTTTGGCTGTGCGGAAAAGGCTGGTCGACAATGAGCCTTCGTGGTTTTTTTTTTTTTTGATTGTCATCAAAGGTTAAGCCCGCAACATTAAAACAGCGGCTGCGTTTGCAAATTGATTGGCGCCAAAAAAGGGTGCTCTTTTCAGTTTAATTTATTTCTTTTGATCATTCAGCAGCGTATATTAAATTCCGCATAATTATGTCATTCCGCAAGCCATGCCACATGCCATTCCGCAAACTCATTCCGCCTTTTACCCTCACCGTTTTAATTAGTTTGTTATGTCATCTAAAACTTTCGAAAAAGTAAAGAACGCAGAAAAAAGAACATCGAGGGCGAGACCCTTAAGTTATCTATTGATTAAGAGAACACAAGTCTACGTGTAAAATTACAATCTGATTTTATAGGATGTGGTTCTGTGGTAAACAACGCCTTGACAAGTCCTGGATTTCCAACACTATACCCAAATAACATGCACTGTGTGTACAAAGTTTCCATTCCATCCGAAAAGGCGCTGAAGATCAGTTTTTCAATTTTTTCCCTGGAACCACATACTCGATGCGGGTAAGTAATTTAACAATAGACAGCTTTAGAGTCTCGTTTACGGCAAACGGCAAACGTCAGATTCAAGTTGAGAATATCTCAAAATTAAAAAAAAATAGCAGGTAAAAACAGCTCAAAGCAATTCTTATGGATACAACTGGCGTGAAACAATTCACTTTTTTGTAGAATTAATGAACAATAAACATCAAGAAAAGGGAAAACTTGGTCACTTGGTACAGATTCACTTTTGCCGTTTACAATAAAGTTAACGTGACTGATGACAAACAATTGAAAACCACTCAACTGACTCAGCTTTAATAAGAGTAGACTAGGAACTTAACTTAAAGTGATACTTGTTACTCTAAAACGTAACATTTTTGCTGGTCAAAACTTACTCACGAATTCCGACGTTCGGCTTGTACGCTGCAAGTTTGCGGATCTGTGATATTAGGCCTAGAAATAAGGCAAAATCAGGCTTCTAAAAACCCAGGCTGGCAGGTAAGTATATCCCGCCGGGAAAAACACCGACCAATGAGAATAACCCTCTCATTTTAAGATAAAGACAGACCTGGCTTTAGAAACTGATAACACGAAGAAAACTGTAAAACACGCTGATACTGATACTCTTTAATTGTTTTAATACTCTTTAATTCTTAAAAGAAATAAAGAGTAAAATTCTGCCAGTAAATTAGCGGTCTGGTCAACATGGCGTGAAAAATAGATTTCGCTCATTTCTTGTGTGTAGAGAGACTTTCATGTACCTGTACTTAACGGCCCCAATTCGCTAGACTGTATTTTTAAAACTCTCGAGTTTCTGAGACAATTTTGGTTCACCCCATCCAACGCCCACGTTGCGCGGCTTAATTCAAGGCTGAAAATCAACAAAACTTTGAATGTTGATTTGGAAAGCAATAGTAATTATTAGATAAGAGAAACAACACAAAAAGCCATCATAATTTCTTTGACATAACACAGTGTTTTCTGCCAACATTACGCACAATTCAACCTCATAGCAAGATTTTAAGTATCCCCTTCCCGCACTGATAGATCAAGTGGAGCCAAACCACCCCCCAAATGGGGTCCCAAATGTGTCATTTGCTCTCGGATAAAAAATTGAAGTTGAGTAACATATATAGAAATTAAACCATGATATTTTGTGAAAGATTTCTTCCGAAAAAAAATATAATTTCTGCGATTTCTTCGATTCTTTATTTTCCTAAAATACTGCCTAAACAGTGCATTCATTAGTCATTGACCAGGTGACAACTTTTACTTCATCAGTATGGTATTTCTGTTGTTTCGGCGCAGACGGCTCTCTCTCGAAATGTTCCTAGCGGCAGAGAGCGATGGGAGTCGGCTGTTTCGCAGCCTAATGAACAAAATTCAAACTACTATTTACAAAATCGAATGTTCGTTGCCGGTGCTCGTAGATAGGCTGAAAAGGTGTAGAGACTTCTCATTGGCTAAACCGAGATCTGGCCAATGATATGGTTTTCGATTTGGAAAATACCATAGCTCTTTTAATATCCAAATTAGGATTTCACGCCTCAAGGCTTTTACGTAAGTTGAGATGAGTGAAATCCCTTTTACAGACCTTTTTTATCTGTAAGTAGGTCGAAAGCAAGAGAACATAAAAGCCACTTATTGAACGTTAATTGGCATTTGTAGACGGCGGTAATTCGACTGCTCGGGAGCGACTCAAGTGCAACATAAAATGAAGGAATTTGATCGGCGGCTTGATATTCTGCAGAAACGTTTGGAGCTTCCTTAACTCCACCATAAAGCACTACTCGCAATTAGTTGAGGCAGAAGAACATAAAAGGCTTTTATGTTATCTTGGCGGTTAGGGTTATTTCTAAGAATTAAACTGCCCTTAAAAAGTAAAAAACATATTTTTTCCCTTCTAGGTATGATTATTTGAGGATTGTAGATGATAACAACAGAACACTTGGTACATATTGTGGGACCGAACTTACTGCGAAGGTAGTTTTGGTAACTGGAAACTACGCATTAATAACATTCCACTCTGACTTTTCTCAACAATACCTGGGATTCCAGCTCACGATATTATTTAGTGAAAATCAAAATGGTATGTTCAAATAAGAAAGGATTCTGTCATAAAAAGTAAATAAAATGAAATAAGACAAAATATTATAAAGAATATAAGTAAGTTGCCATTCAGGTAAGATGTCAAAGTTCATGTTTAGAGGTCAAGGTGAGGTGCGCGGCATCAGTAAAGGAAAACGAGGTGCCCACAGAAAAAAATTCTAGTCGCGCGAGTATTTTCGCTACAAAGGCAAGTTATATATCAAATTAAAGCTAAAAGACTAAATTACCTTATGAAAGATTTTATTTCATCGAATTTCAAAAGGTGCTTAAGTTTTTTGCTCTCGAACTCAGAGGTATCGAGTTTGTTGCTGAAGCTCCAGCCCTTTCGCGTTGTTAAATATTCACTTCCTTTTTATTGCATCTGATTGACAGATAAAAGACCTAAAAAAGGGTGTGAGGAAATTTGCATATGTCTCGTATTAGCGGAATTATTGCATTTCAAACTAAAAAGTCGGATCTCGAGCGCGATTTACGCAAAGAAACTGACATAAAATGAGTTACAAAGGGAAATCGGAAAATTCCTCACACCCTTTTTGAGTCTATATCATTATCCATCACATCTGAAAGTTTCAGAGCGATAGCTTAAAACCTGTCCCGACTGGAGGTCGGAGAATTTTGATTTTTGCGTCTAAAATAGAGTGAGAGAAAATCAGCTTTAAAGATTTAGCGCGAGGTCCACGCTTGGCTGGTTAGCTCAGAAAAGGCTCATTTTAGAAGGGTTAAAAAGCACTTTCTGATTTTCTTTTTCTTCCAAAATAAAATTTAGGACCCACTCATGCCAAAAATCCCAAAAAAACAAAATCGAGCAATGTACTAAAATTTTCATTTACCGAGACCTTAACTGTAGTAGATAAAGTAGAGGGTCAAAAATGAGAGGAAGAGGCAGTAGTACGCCAACAAAGCCTGTGCCTGCTCCTCGAAGGGGGAGTAAGCCGAAAGAGCCGAGCGCTTCGGATAAATTGTAGATTCAAAACACAGTTCGGCAATTTTATAAGTGGATGGATAAGCTCGGAAAATGTGTTTGTTGCGCCTACCAGAAAAGGAGAAACGTTACCAAAGTTGGCCGACCTACTGAAAAACGAACTTTTAGTTGTCCTCGAGGAAGGAGAATCTTTCTCCACAAGAGTTTGCACTCTGGCGGAACAAAGGTTAAAAACTGGGCTGCGATGCTTTCCCAAATTAGGGAAAAATTGAACACGCCAACTGACAATGAACAATTATTTCGACAATCCACTTCTTCGTGATTTGGCTCTGTAAATCACTATCTGTGAGAATTTAAACATCCTGCTAAAAACGCTAACGAGTAGGGCCCAGCGTGACAAAACCTTGCAGGAAAAAGTCACATTCATGGACACAAAGAAAATGGCTTAGAATTATTCAAATCCAGGAGGCACTTTGGAGAAATGGAACAACCTAAAACCCTTAATCAGCCTCAACGAAGAACTTTACATTTCTAAAGAGGCCAAAAAAGAAAATGCTCTTACATCAGTGGGCAAATCATGCTGACCAGAGAAAATCAATATGCGTGTCACGACATATCAGTATGAAATTCACATTTGCCCAGTCAAAACGTTTTCCTTCAAAGCGTAATCTACTCGACAAAGAAAACAATTATTTTGGCATGAGGTAAAAGTGGTGTGTTTTCTACCGATCCCCCTTTTTTACACAGGCGAGATAACAATGACTGTCGGCCGTTGCACGGAACTTGAAGAACTCTTTGCATGAACAAGCATCTGATAAATAAGGCTGTTGGTAGGACACAGAAAACATCCTTTCCCCTGAGCAGCATCTCCAAAGCTTCCCTCTGCTTCGATTTTACAACAAATCCCAGTTCTTGCGCGAGCAAATCGAAGCAATCAAGTTATTTTACAGCAAAAGCCTTAGGAATCTATTCATCACGCGCGGTACGGAATATCCCGAATGGTTTGTTGGAAACATTACTTGACAGCTTGTTGACAGCTTGCATCGTAATTTAGCCAATGGGAATTGCCTGTGGCTGGGAGAAGCGGGTAATTCGAACAAAAATAACGTATGCAAAACGGACAGTCCGTATTTTTAGCGTCTCTCCCCAGTCTCGCTCTCTGTTTTCAGCCTCGTTCCAGACCTTTCGTTTGACTGCTCGCGCGTACTCGAATACGCAAGAATACGGACTGTTTTGCAGTCTATGTTTCCAGATGAGGTCGTCTCATGAGTACGTGACTACTTTCAACAAAATGACTATTAAAATAATTCTCCAAGAGTAGAATAAAATTACGTTATATTCTGTATTCTTTCAGTTGAACATCAGGTTTAAAGTTCGACATTATGACATGCATGCTGCTCAGTATATAGGATGGATATAACACTGGTGAAGAAATACGTAGCAAAACAGTACTCTGCCTCTGTAGACGATACTCTTGCCGTCCTATGATAACGACTGATCACATCTGCTTCCTCAACGACTAAAACTCTGTTTTCCCACACTCTTACGCTCCTACGTTGATAAATATTCTTTCCTGTCCCCAATATACACGTACTAATGTTTCACGAGATAATTTGTTAAAGAATAAATAAATTCAAGTCAGTCTTTAACCCTCGGACTTTCACCCGTGGTACAAGAAGGTGCGGTTGCAACCCCTCTGCCTCTGCAGTTCTTACTATGTTATACAGGTCCAGCTTACCCCTATAGATTCCGTTAATTAATGAATCGATTTGTTTGAAAAATGAATTTCATTGTACCATACGTAGAGTCGTTGCCGCAACCAGGGGTCCGAAAACAATAGCTACACTTAAAAATTACACTTGTAAAAGTTTTATTAAATTGCCCCCAGTATTTCAAATCTGCCTTCTGTCACATATACGTAATGAGCAGTGATTTTTTTTAACGATACCTCTCTGTATTCGGTCAGATTGAAAAATCTTCGAATGGATAAAATTGCTTTGAAGACATTTACATCAAATTCAAGAAATCTGAGTAGGTAGAAATTTCACTGTTCTCTCTCGAGTGTGAATATACCTTTTTCACCGATACGGCGGCCATATTGAATTAATTCGATTTAAGGAGTATTATAGGATGCCTAGGGAGCATGAGCGCATTTCGTTTGTATTTTCGAGTGCTTTTCGGGACATTTTTTCTTAAAGTTTTCTTAGAATAAGATTGTAATGGGAAAAAAGATCCTTGTGCCGTGTTTGGATGTAATAATGATCGCCTTTTGCTAGTTCAGTATTAGAAATATGGTCTTTCTTTGTATATTTCTTGGGAAAAGAGCGATCATCATCAAAACACGGCACAAGGATCATTTTTCTCATTACAATCTTATTCAAAGAAAACTTTATGAAAAAATGTCCCGAAAAGCGCTCGAAAATACCAACGAAATGTGCTCATGCTCCCTGGGCATCCTATAATACTCCTTAAATCGAATTAATTCAATATGGCCGCCGTATCGGTGAAAAAGGTATATTCACACTCGAGAGAGAACAATGAAATTTCTACCTACTCAGATAATATAATATATAATACTCCTTATTAAAAATAAATCGAATTAATTCAATATGGCAGCCGTATCGGCAAAAAGGTCTATTCACTGCTCATTATGCATGCAGGAATGCAGATGAATTTGAAATCTACAACTACCAACGGATTCAACATTCGAATAATAAATTCATTAATGAACATTATGCCATGCGGCCCCGTTAAAGAACTGTTGTGAAATTTGAAGTCGACGCCATTTTATTTGTAAATAATCTAGATTTACTTAAATAGTTAAAAAACTAAGAATTTCTTCATGCTTGAGGTGATATTGTTATAATTTAAAACTGTTTAACTGCTTTTGTAGCCTACCTCGCAGACGTTCTTAGGTGCTTCGTCACGCGTTCCTGCCCGGGGAACGCGTGACGAGCTCCTAAGAATGTCTGCGTGAGAAGCTACTGCTTTTGGTAATGAGAGAAATTGCGATAGACTCGAATTTTGCAAAAAATCGATTGAAGAGCATATCAATATCAAATGCGCCACATTTACTAATAAAGTGTACAAAATGCATACGTCATTTTTTTTTCAAAGCGAACGACTCAAGAGGCGAAAGGCCAATACGTGTACCATTTTGATAACGCCATCTCTGACATGAGGATGATATCACCCATCCACTATTAAAACAGTCTTAAGGGTTACAAGTAGAATAATATTTGCTCTTATAGCATTTTACGCTTATGGCCTACGCTTGCCCAATGACGTAACATACATGTAATGGTGTAACATTTCTTGTTTTTTTAAAATTGTGCGTAACCTCGATGGATCGACATCTCAGCCCGCGATGAGGTCATGTGATACTGGTCAGTGGATACCCTGTTTTCACAACATTTCTTTGGTGCGGAAGACGGACGAAGAGCGTACGGACAAGTGACTACCCAAATTTCAATTTCTCGGATGGATAAAGAGCTATGAGGCTAAGCTCGCGCGCACCTCGCGCACCCGTGGAGCTCCGCTAAGACATATTTAAACCTCAAAACAAGAGAATGCTTATTTTCTACGCTTACTTTATTGCAGAAATCTGAATGTTCAGAAAAATCCAAGTTACAGACCATTTTCGGTTACCTCACGGCTCTGCAACTCTTGCATGACGGTAGGGGTTGTCAATTTCCCCGTAAGTCGGAACAGAGGCAAGCCAAACTTTATACATAATTTGCTTAGCTTTGAAGGCGAAATTCATGACTACAATGTAGAAATAAACTTCACTCATCTCAACCTGTGGGTTTGCATGTCCTTTTCCTGTGTAACCTGGGCTGGATTCAGCTAAAGGGATAAGGATAAGATTGAAATATTTTAATGAAACACAAGGTCTTGAAATCCATCGCTTATACATTTCAGTTTCATGTGGGTCAGTAGTGAACAACACGCTGAAAAGTCCTCCAAACCCAGATGGCGTCTATGGATACAGGGTGAACTGCATTTACAACGTTTCGATTCCAGATGGTAAGGTGATGAGACTCAAGTTTCAAATTTTTGACCTGGAGTCAGATTCAGGATGCAGGTAGGAATATATAAATTTGGCTTGTCATAACTGAATTTAATTTTAAGATTGCTCCTCCAAAACCTTTTTTAAAGAGACTCATTACGCTCGGTTGTTCTAAAGTCGTTTACCTGAAAAGAAAAAATATGAAATTAAAAAAATAATTATGATAACTACATAAAACGTCCATTTCGGTAACACGTTTGTTAAACCTACGGAAAATCCAAACGGAAAATCATCAAATCAATTCATGGAAATTAAAAGTTACCATGGTCCAAGAGATTTTCTCGCTATTTTTCTCCTCGCACTTGAGCCGCAAGGCGGCTCACGAGATGAGAGAAAACTTGTTTTCATTGTGCTGAATCTCTCTTTAATCCGGACGTTGGGGTCAGTAACTGATCCTTGGGCCCTGATTGGTGGTATTTTAACCAGCACGAGAATCAGTCTCGACTGTTAAATCCTTATTTTTTTGCATCAAGCGACGAAAGGGTTTTGGTACTTGTTACTTTGCAGTAAGATGAATTGGTAAAGATTTTCTCACCCTCTTGCAGGATCCATTATTTGAAAATAACGAATGGTTTTGAGAAAGGTCAATATTGCGGTAACCAGCTCATGGGAAGAAACCTTGTTGTATCTGGAAACTACGTTGTATTAACGTTTTACAGGCTCGCGCTGCTCGAGAACAAGAAAGATTTTGAAATCTTCTTCGCTCCAGAAATTCCAAGTAAGTAGAAAAAGATAACAACTTTAGTTTACAATATTGTCCCACCGGTAACTGAAGAACTCTATTAAGAGGCTGTTCGGTTTAGAATCCACCACTTGATTGGGAATAAAATTTCGCCGATTCTTCTTAAACGGTAACGAAGCTTTGCCGTCAGGAATGCCGAGCAAGATGGCTTCTCAGTATTGTCGCAATTTGTAATAATCATCGCGCACTTCGTAACATATATATATGTCGCAATTTGTAATAAACTGTGTCGCACTTTGTAACAAAAAAGCTGTCCATCGCACTTTGTAATAAACTTTAGTTAATTATGAGATTCGCTTTAATTTATGACTTTGATCTTCTTGAAGACATGAAACTTACTGTGACATGTCGGCTTATTTGTATCCAGTTACTGTTTTCATTGTCGGAATATAACCCGTTGTAAATTATTGTTTCTGCGTTGTTTACGATTATTGCAGCTGTTTTTCAAGAGATCATGACAGGCTTTAATAGAAATCTATTAAAAAAGCCTTGTGGAGGTTTCAGCAACTTAGAAAACCCATCAGCTAGCGGCGTTTATTAAATCATTTCAAATGATAAGAAACCATTACGAAGTGAAGATACTAATGATGAGTAGCAGTAGTAATGCATTGCAATTTGGATTTGTTAACATAACAGCGTCAAATTAAAGTGTTTTAAATAGTAAAGTAATTAACTCTCGAACGTACAAAGGGGGGAGAGGGTGGATGCCCATCCCCCTCTGAGGTCTTTCTGTGATTTTCCCTCCACCCACTATTAGGTTTTTCTGTGTTTTTTCTTACACGATTAAACGTTAGCACCTAACGTTTTCAGTAGCCGTACGTTTGTCCTTCTCGCGCATTTTGAGACAAGTTTAATTATTATCAGTTTCTATGGTTACGAGATATGACGTGATAATCAGCAGGTGGTCAAGGCATTAATGACTTTTTTCAACTTCTTTCAACAATAAAAGTAAATCTTGTAGATAAAATGAAGCGAAGTACTTATTTAGATATTAAACTACACGTCATGCACAAGACGTTTCCAGTTCTCGGCGTTTTTACCCGATTTCTAATTCTTGGTAAAATCCAAGATGGGGGCTAAGATGGCGACCATGTTTGGTGACGTCACAGGCCTCCAGCAGCACCACCACCCATAAATTTTACCTCATCTTGTCTAGAAGATCAAAGGCTTTCCACGGAAAGTAGTGCCTTTTCAAAATACTGCAACATATCAGAAACCTAGCAAGGGGTTCGATCAATCCGTCCTTGTACCACGGTGGGGGTATGATTTTGTTGGTACGTCCGAAGGGTTAAAATATTTGAAAGATGTTGTCGCAGTACAAAATTCCGTCAAGTGAAAAAAGTTTTATATCATTAAGCAAGAATTATACTTATTTCTGTTTTTATTTTTTTGGTTCCATGAAATTTAAAGGAACTTTTTCTATATTGATAATTCATCTTGCTTTGCCTGGTAGAAACATTGATAATATTTATCATTTCGTTCAAATTCTTGTAAAGCAATCTTTAGTAACCGAAAGAACGATTTCTCTATGTATGTAGGTGGAGGTTAACTATTAAAAGGTTAGAAAAACCAAAGAAACTTAGTCTTTTTGGCAGGCGCAAAAAGGGGTAAGCAATAGAGGGTAGAGGGAGAAAAGCGCCAAAGTAAAAAGGGAAGGGAGTGTCTGCTAAGTCAGTATAATTTTCCTTAGCCTGTTCCAGGCAGACTGGCGAGAGGAAGGGCGGCAGGGCCTGTAATCAGTTTTTGAAACGGCTTGTTCCGGTATACCATATCCTGGTATACCTTCTTTTTGGTCAGATTTGACAGTTTATATTAACACTTCTCAAGAGAGTTCTAAAGTGATGACGTCATAAAAATTAAAGTTTTGAAATAGTGAAATTCGTTAGGATATTTTGAAAGAACATCTGAAATGCCTACTTGCCAAAAACTTGAATTGTTTGGCAAATTGTCTGGGAGATACTAGTCCCGTTTTGCTCTGATAACTCCATACAAATCTTTATATTAAAATTTACTCGGTACTTAATGTTATGAACTGAGTCTGAAATTTAGAAGGAGGTTCCCTTTTAACGAGGTTGCCGATTTAATCGGTGGTGGCTAGTTGGTAAACTAGCGGATAAGGTATCTTGTCTATTACTAGAGAAACGCCGCAGACTCGAGTTATTAGTCTCGCTTGCGTAAGCAGCGAGACTCATAATTTGCAAGCCGTTTTTCTTCGTATTTCGGACACAAAAGGGCGTTGGGGTCCCAGGCGTTCCTAGCGGAGACCGTGAAAACTGGGAATAAGAATCGTTGCGAGACCGAGGCCACGCATGTTTTGCGAAGAAAGCTTAGGAAAGATTAATAAATGCGATTTAGAGCTTTTCCGGAACGGGTCGGTCCACGAATTCTATCGCTTGAAAGAGCTTTATTATAACTTTTGCTTGAAAGAGTTGATAACTTTGGAACAAGTGAACACTTCAGTGGTCGGAAAAAAAAATCTTTATTAGCAAAGACTAACCGGTCGCGTGTTGTAAACTTTTCTCGTATGCAAATGAACCTTTTCTAGCATGCGTGCTCGTTGAATTTGTAAATGAACAGGTATTTAAAAATACAAGAAAAATAGATCTACTTAATCTGGAGAGTCAGGAGCAGACATTTATAATCATTTCCCCCCCCCCCACAAGATTGCTCAAATGAATCTGCAATGAAGACATTTTCAGGACCATTTTAATCAGTTCATGTTGAAAACAATAACTGATTTTATTGTCTATATCATTGTGGCATAACACAAAAATTTCTTTTATAAGTACAATCCATTTGCCACACACAGACACAAGTTGTATAAGACTCTTTCGGAGGTGGTCTTTTGGCAGGAACAGGGTGAAGAACTAAAAGAAAGCTACGAGGATGCATTATCACCATGCAAAACACTTACAAAATGTTGCAGGTGTAATGAAAAGCCATCCTTTTAATGATGATCCTGAATAAAAGGTGCTTTGGCGGATATTAAACACGTGAAGCAGAAAGATACCTTAATATTAAATATCCTAACATCCTGCGTTTGAGATATGCCCAGAAAGTGTCATTTTTACTTACCCATATGAAAAATCAGAGAGTAGCATATGTTTTACATGTGCTATAGTTTCTTGGCATTCAAAATTCCCCCTCTCTCAAAAGGTAATCCTACTGTTTACCAGCAGAATGGGTGCCAGACTGAAAGGTCCACTAAATTTCCAATAAAAAGGCAATACTAAATTTAAAATATTGAATAAAAAAAGAAACACAGGAAAAACGTTTTCATAACTGCCCATCCACCCCACCCCTAACCCATGTTTCTCACTGACGTGTGACTTAAGGAAAGAAACATGGGTTAGGGGTGGGGTGGGTAGGCAGTTTCCCAGAAACCTAAACTGATCCAACATCACTTCTGGCCATAAACACTACACGGCCATAAACACTACTTCTGGAATCATAAACTGTTCACTTAATAAATACCAAAATGAAATGCACAGTGTCAAAATTCAGTGTTTCCATTTGGTGTGTTCAGATGAATATATTATACTAAGTTTTATTTTCAAAATAGACTCGATCAAGTAATAAATTTACCGTAGTTGTCATTTTTATTAATAGTCTCTTTGATAAACACTATTGTGGCTGCCCTACGTACTGTTGTTGTTTCGCAAGAAACACTTTATTCTTGAGATAACAACTTAGTACGGGTTACACGGCAAGATGGCTTGAGAATAACAAGGATTTACAACGATGAACGTGTTACACATGTAACTTAGTCTATAGCAAGACAAAATGGACGATCCAAGACAAGTCAAAGGGTGCCTTTGGCTAAATAGTGGACTAATTTCTTTTAGAAATGAAAGCTGATAATGAACTTGCAATTAGTCTACCGGTATAATTTAAGTCTGTCAAAAAATGAAAATATGTTTGAAAAAATAAATAAATAAATAAAACACTAGGAAAACAAAAACAAAACGACCAAAAAAAAAAAAGAAAAAAGTTTCTCACCGCGGAAGTCGAACCCTAGGCCTATGGTGTAAGTTCAGCGCGTTATCTATAGGCGAATCTTTGTTTTGATTGAAATGAGCATGCGCGAAAGTTTGTGTGGCAAAAAACAATGGCGGACGAGAAGGATTGTGAG